CATAACAATTTTTGCACCTTTTTTTTATTTGGATGTCTTACCCCATTACGTGTCATAAGAGAATTTGGTGTTTCACTAACAGAGAAATGGTATATAATTCATTATGACGTTATCTGTCTACTGAAGCCCCCCAGTGGCACAGCGGTAAGTCTACCGACTTACAACGTTAGAATCCGGGTTTCGATACCCTTGGTGGGCAGAGCACAGATAGCCCTTTGTGTAGATTTGTGATTAACTACAAACAAACAAACCTTTCTACTGATTAAAAGTATACTCCGCAGATGTAGTCGCTGTATTAATGCCAGCAAACACCTTACTCGTTAACGGGTGTATTTTTTACCAAATGTGACTCTTGCAGATAAGTTGGCTCGGTTGGACTCAACTCTAACCACTTTCAGTTTGCTGGTAATCATGTTTAAGTGTGGCGATGCTCAAACAAAATACTTTAATTTTAGCTATAATATTTATTAACTGAAAAAACAAACAATAGAACTTGAAATTTCAACAGATAATATGTGAATTTCCTAAAATTATAAAAACATTTCAAAAGACTCATTAGGTTTAGGGTCTAGGGTGGCACAATGATCAGCATACTGGACTGCAAATATGAAGTTCCATGGTTCGCGTCCCGTTGGTGCAAAACCGATATACGCACTTTCGGGCCGTGGATACGCTTCAAAGTGACGGTTATAACCACTTTTCGATTAGAGTAATTAAAAACCTAGCAGATGCTACTGCTAGCTAGCTGCCTTCTTGTTAGCGGTAAGCTTGAGGGTTTATAACACTAAAAATTGAGTTTTGATACGGCGATGGGCACAATGCAGATAGTCCATTGTTCATATTTGCACTTCAAACAAAAATATTGCCTATCAGTTTAAAAATATGGGGCATTTAGTGCCGATAGCTCTTGTGTGGCTTTGCACACATTTCTGAAAAGCAAACCCTCGGTTTAAAACAAAGTTGTTTCAAAGGTTCGCGTGCTTATAGAATCCTTCACTACATCTTCATCTAATAATCATAATCTTATGCTTTCTATAGCAAAAATAAGATTCAATTTTATCTGAAAAATAATTTTAGATGAAGCTATCGAAGGAATATTACTTTTGTAAGTAATATTTTTAATAAACAAAAGAAATGATTGAGTACTTCTTTAATTATAAAACTATGATGTGTGGTGTTCGACATAAAAACCAGTCTGTGAGTTGATCGACATAAAACTATGTTCTGAGTCGAACGATAGAAAATCAGATGTGCACTGTTCAGTATAAAACTATGATGTGTGGTGTTCGACATAAAAACCAGTCTGTGAGTTGATCGACATAAAACTATGTTCTGAGTCGAACGATAGAAAATCAGATGTGCACTGTTCAGTATAAAACTATGATGTGTGGTGTTCGACATAAAAACCAGTCTGTGAGTTGATCGACATAAAACTATGTTCTGAGTCGAACGATAGAAAATCAGATGTGCATTGTTCAGTATAAAACTATGATGTGTGGTGTTCGACATAAAAACCAGTCTGTGAGTTGATCGACATAAAACTATGTTCTGAGTCGAACGATAGAAAATCAGATGTGCACTGTTCAGTATAAAACCATGATGTGTGTTGTTCGACACTACTTTCATAGATTGAACAGTGTTGTTGTTTTTTTAATATCATATCGTAACTGTTAAATATGTGAGGTGAGGCGTGCTTATTTTGTTATATTTTGTGGCTATTTAAACATATTTTGACTGCCTCTCTATACCCCAATGTTACAAAAAAAAAGACCACAGTTAATCCTTAATATTCGTCCTTAATCACCATCTACAGGGTAATTAGGATCACTTGATTAGTTTGTTGGAAGAAATCCCGGACTCTATGATGTTCCCACGAGATCCAATTAAGCAACAGTATTGAACTACAATTGGAACATATGTACACCAATTTTGTTTATCTTCAAAGCCATAACTTCAAAAACCGTGAATGTATCGCCGTTTACAAAAATGACTTTCTAATCACTCCATTTCATGATATTTTAATTGTTTTTATCATTTCACAGACAAAATTAGCATTTATACGATTTCCAAGTTATTTTTTAAACAAAGGCACCTAGTATAAAAATAGTACATAATTACCTTCTTAAAATTTATACAGGTAAAGGAGAAGAGGGTTAGGTCTTTTCAAAGTTACTGACCTCAGACACATTTACTTTGTACACTACAAAACCATACTGTGTGTTTTACGGTATAAAACGATTCTGTGCGCTGTACGAGCTGAAGCCATTCCGTGTGTTGTACGAGCTAGAGCCATTCTATGCGCTGTACGAGCTAGAGCCATTCTATGCGCTGTACTAGCTAAACGCCATTCCGTGTGTTGTACGAGCTAAAGCCATTCCGTGTGTTGTACGAGCTAAAGCCATTCTGTGCGCTGTACGAGCTGAAGCCATTCTGTGTGTTGTACGAGCTAGAGCCATTCTATGCGCTGTACGAGCTGAAGCCATTCCGTGTGTTGTACGAGCTAGAGCCATTCTATGCGCTGTACGAGCTAGAGCCATTCTATGCGCTGTACGAGCTAAAGCCATTCCGTGTGTTGTACGAGCTAAAGCCTTTCCGTGTGTTGTACGAGCTAGAGCCATTCTGTGCGCTGTATTCTTAAAACAAAAAGGGTTTGTTGTTCGATATAAACCACGCTGTGACTTATATGATATAAAACCAAACTATATATATATGTGCATAGTTCCATAAAACACTTTTGAATTTCGTTGTTAATAACTTGGATCAGTACTGAGATATCAATAAGTTTAAAGTAGAGCTGTTGTGAGAAATTATGTGAACTAAATTCAACGTTGGATTATATGTGTATGTATATATATATGGATGTCTCCTGAGTTATGCCTACTTCAGAGTGCAACTTAGTTGTTGATCTTTGAGTTATGGTGGACAATTGTTTTTAGCACCAGTGAACAAAACAGCAGCACAATATCAATGCCCCCAAGTTTCTTGTGACTACAATTAAACAGCTTTCTAAACATCACTTTAACTATTATCCACTTAAATAGTATAACCCCAAAATCAGGTGCGACAACAGCTTCCCTATTCGTATTAGGAAACAGTTTTTCATTCATAGTTTATGTTCTTCATAATGCAGTAAGTCTAATAACTTACATTCAGATCCCACAAAATATTGACGTGTTACGTATCGTCAAAGATTCCCATTGTTCGCGTCCCATTGCCACAAAACATTTGGATTATAAGTGTTCTGAAAGAGTGGAGCCCGGCATGGCCAGTTGGTTAGGGCGCAATCTGAGGGTCGCGGGTTCGAACTCCCGTCAAACCAAACATGCTCGCCCTTTCAACCGTGGGGGAGTTATAATGTTACAGTCAGTCCCACTATTCGTGGGTAAAAAAGTAGCCCAAGAGTTGGTGGTGGGTGGTGATTACTAGCTGCCTTCCCTCTAGTCTAAATTAGGGACGGCTAGTGCATATAGCCCTCGCGTAGCTTTGCGCGAAATTCAAGCAAACAAACTGTAAGAGTGACGGTTAGATTCCACTATTCAGCTCACAAGAGTGACCCAGGTGGATGCCTTTGGCTAGTTGCCTTTCCTCCAGTCTATCAGTTCAAAATTAGGGACGGTTGTGTGAAAATAGCCCTCGGGTAGCTTTACGTAAAAAACTTACAATGCTAAAGTTTTCCAGGCGATTGTTTACAAAATATAGTGAAATATAAAGAAAAATAAATGTGTACATTTTAATCAAACAACAGAATGAAGCCGTAATTCGTTCCACGAGCTACTAGAAAGAGGCTAACTTGCTGTTTGTCATCTTTCTAATTCTGATAATCAGTTTCAGCCCTTTAAAACAACGGCTTAGTACTTTATTACCGCTAACTGGTTAATAAAAGCATTTGATATCATTCGCCAGTCTACTTTATTCGCCCCAAAAGAAGTATACGTAACTGAGAAATCGATAAACTGGTTGCCGTACTTAGAACCTTGTGTATTAATCCCCAGAAAATCTGACTCGACCATAGAGTAACACCAATAGAGAAAATATATATATAACTTAACCCTTTCACTATTGACTCAGATATTTATAATATATTGAATACTATTCGCTGCTTAATTTTTACTTTTATTAACCGGAAATAGAAGCTATTATGGATGTATTTAATGTTAAGTAAAATGACTTTCCGAAATAACGAATCTTAGAATAGGTAAAGGATTTCAAGTTGGCTGGTTTATAACACCTATATAAAGGATGGTAAAGCATGATGTGTTGGTCGGTAGTTTGTGTGATATTAAAACTTTCAATAACACTGTTAATCAATAGCGATTATCACATTTCTTTTTAACTGATCCTGGAAGGGTTTCCAGACTACGAATATTATAGTGAAGTATAAAAATTTTTTTTAGAATTTTTCTTGCAAAAGTACACAAAGGACAATAGGCGTATAACTCTCAATAATCTTGAAGTGATAACTTAGAAAGAAAGCTGATAGTCAACAACCGCCGCCTTCTCTTGGGCTACTCTTGTCTGACCTAAAGTGCAGAGCACTTGTATTTTTCTGGCAACTAGACGCGAACCACGAGTCTTCGGATCCACAGTTGGGAAATGGAAAAACGGCCATTCAAATTAGAAAAGGGTTCGGTTGCAATGCTATGATACTATTATTGTTGAAAACCCATATATTGCCAGGAAGATCTGATGATCAAGATCAGTCTTATTATTATGTAATGTTGTGCAAATTACCAATCAACACATCATGTGATATTTGTGCACGGTAACAAGCGTCAGAAATGGATAAGAAAAAATACAAATCAAATTTATTTTATATCAGAGAAGTTTTGTAAAATCACAGAAATGTAAGATTACGTTTGAGTCTTGTGTACACGATCTTTGACTCCAGGTCGTCCACATTTTTGATCACATGCTCAGTTAAAACTTATTCTCTTCACCTATTGGGTAGGAATCAAATATTTTTTTTATAAAACTGATAAGACAAAAGGTATAAAATTGGTAACACAAAACAAAGCTAATCTGCAGAGCTCTTGTTGATAGCACCAAGACAGGAAGCACCAGCAAATATGAAAATAATATATTGTCTTCTCTTCGTTGGTAAGTCGCCATTTTTGTTTTAATGATCTAAGTGTAGAAAACCTTTTATTATTTTTTTACCGAGTGTAGTGCCAGTTATTTTACACGTTATTCGTGGTTATTATGCAAATTAAATTTTACAATTTGATTGATAAAAACTAAATGTTTGAGCTTTTACAAGTTTACCTCACTGCTTCTGGTACTAGTGTAGTTTTTTAAAGGCACTAATAAATTTAATTGTAATAACTGTAATTGCAGCAAATGGCATGTTTGGAAACTCTTAGCTACAAGTGCGTTTAGTTTTAAGTCCAGCTATAATGTTATTACTTAAAGTTTGTCAAACTTACTGTGATTTATTTTTCATTAGTAGCTGCTGTGTGTGTGTGTTTTATAAAAATAATTGAATGATTTGATATCATCTATATGCTATACAGTTTAATTTTAAGAAACTGATTGTCACTTTAGGGAATATCCTTGTGAACGTCCAGACAAAGGACGTGGCTCCAAGATCTTCGTCACACCAGTATCCGGACTTGGAGTTTAAGTGTGAAAACCGTATTGGATATTTTGCTGATGTAATCCGGAATTGCAAGGTTTTTTATCTGTGTACAAAAGAAGGATTGAAGTACAAGTACGTAATGTGTAATATTTTTTAGGAAAGTAAAACTTATCACTACAATTTATCATTTATTTCCAAAGTGTGATAAACATATAGATAAAATGCAGTCCTGTTTCTTAACATCATTGTGCACTTCTCCCCCTTGTATAATTATTGCAACTACTAATTATATCTGATAGTAAAACTCTACATATAATCGGAGGGTGTACAAACAAATAATGTTAATTTTCCACTTTTTTTTATCTATTTCATTTTTAAGTATTGTATATATATATATATATATATATATTTACATATTTCCAGCTTTGTCTGTCCTCCCACCCTGGTGTTTGATGAGAAAGACTCTGTTTGCAAACGAAAAGAGAACGTAGACTGCAGGTAAAAAATATTTCCTTACTATTATGTCTTCTATTATAAAATCAACATAGAGAAGAGATAATGACGTAATGTCATTTGGATTTCATATAATCTAGAATGGAAAATTGCGAAGTCATAACCAAGGTAAACATAGGAAGTGATCATAGAATTGTGAGAGCAAAAATTAAGATAAATAAAAGATTGGCAAGACTTAAAACTATACGACAGAAGAAAGCTCTCAAGATCAATATTATTCATCTAAATGGAAATTAAAGAGATTTTCAGTTAAATCTAAAAAAACTGATTTGGAGTGTTGTAGGAAGATCGGGATCTGGATATCTTTTGTGAGCCCCCCCAGTAGCACAGCGGTATGTCTGCGGACTTACAACGCTAGAATCCGGGTTTCGATACCCGTGGTGGGCAGAGCACAGATAGCCCATTGTGTAGCTTTGTGCTTAATTACAAATAAACAATCTTTTGTGAACAACTAAATGAGATTTTTAATCGAAGAAACAGAAAAAATCAACAGGTTTCAAAACAAATTTTAAACAAAGATGAGGAGTGTGAGCTTATAAAGAAAGTGGATGGCAGAAGAAAGAAATTAAGACGGATGGAGAGGAAGATCATACAAGAGAAAGTTGAATATGTGAATTAACAAAGATAGCAAGGAAGAAAAGAAAAGCAGAGCAAGAAAAAGAAGGAAACAAATGTTGAAAAGATCTTAAAAGCTGCTAGAGGACCTAAAAATATCAATAGAGGCGTTGTAAACAGGAAAATATGCTCAATAAAAAACAAAGAAGGAATCACCACAAATGATAGAACAGAAATACTTGAGATGTGTGCAGATTTTTGCAGACATTTATATACATCAACTATTAAAGATGAAACAGGAACAGAAATGAATTTTGAGAACAACAAAGCGGATAAAACAGAAGTACCTAAGATTTTAGTCTTGGAAGTAGCGAATGCATTAAATGAGATGAAGAAAAACTACAGGAAACCAGTGATATTTTGAAAGCAGGTGGAACTGAAACATTAAGGCAAATAACAAAATTGTTTAACAAAATATTGGAGTCCAAAAAGATACCAAAGAAATGGAAAGAAGGGAGACAAGCAAGATATGAAGAATTCCGCCCCATAAGCCTATTATCTCACTTATATAAACTATTCAAAAGAGTACTACAAAAAAGATTGTAAAGAATTTTGAACAAACACCAACCAAGAGAAAAAGCAGGCTTTGGGAAAAAAATTCTCAACAACAGATCATTTACATGCAACTAAACAAATGATAGAAAAATTAAATGAATACAACTTACCTTTATATGTGGGGTTTATAGATTATGAAAAAGCATTTGACTCTGTAGAACACAGCGCAATATTAAATGCTTTAGCTACAATAGGCGTCAATCTAACGTACATCGAAATCTTAAGAGAAAGTATATATATACAATGCAACAGCAAAAACACATCCTGATAAAGAGGTATCATCAGTGATAAAGATAGAGAGAAGGGCGAGACAGAGTGATCCAATATACCCGAAGCTGTTTACAGCAACTTTACAAGTATTCAGACAAACTGAGCTAGAGAATGAAGGTATAAAAATAGATGGTCAGACACTAACAGATCTAAGGTTTGCAGGTAATATAGCTCTATTTACAAATTCAACAAAAGAGATAGAAGCCCTATTAATTAAACAGTTTGAATGTCAGTAGCAAGAAATCAGGATTGAAAATACATAAGGGAAAACCAAATATATGACCAACTATCATGACACAGATACCATCAAAATTGAGAATGAAGAAATAGAAAGTGTCAGAGTACAAATATTTAAGACAAACCTCAAAATGGAAAACACAACAAGGGAGGAAATTATGGTAAGAATAAAGGCAACATGGCGATGTTTTGGAATGTATAAAAAAATTCTAGAGGATCAAGATATCCCCATTACTTTGATGAAAAAGATCATGGATCAGTGTGTACTACCAACTTTAATATATGGCTGTCAAACATGGGCACGAACAAAAGAGATAAGGAAAAGATAGAAACCACATAAAGAGCTATGGAAAGAAAAATACTTCATATAACACTACAAGACAGATGGAGAAATGACAGAATAAGAACAACAACAAATATAATAGATGCAGTAAGGTTCATTCCAAGAACTAAATGGAAATGGGCTGGGCTTTTAGCGATGTATTCCGATAATAGGTAGATAATCAAGAACAATGGAATGGCAACCTAGGACAGGGAAACGATCTAAAGGAAGGCAAAAGAGAAAATGGAGGAACGATATAGTAGCGGAAACAGGAATCAGATGGACACGGTATGCTAAGAATAGGAAATACTGGACTGGTCTGACGGAGAGTTACATCCAATGAGGGATGACTGCAGCTTAGATAGATAGATAGATAGATAGATAGATAGATAGATAGATAGATAGATAGATAGATAGATAGATAGATAGATAGATAGATAGATAGATAGATAGATAGATAGATAGATAGATAGATAGATAGATAGATAGATAGATAA